TGATTCCGCACCAGAGGAATACAAGAAACTTGCCGAGCGGTGTTGTGATGCTGATCCTGATAAGCGTCCAGATGCATGGAGACTTTGGTATGATATTCACAACATTCTTAGAAAGATCAGTTCTTTATATTATGACAAACCGTGGAATGCCGTTTATCATAATGACGTAAAACCCTTATCACGTCTCGAGAAGGAGAGTAAATATTCTAGTATGCTCTTACCTACTAGAGATCTGCCTAAACCTAGAAATCATCAGTTAGAAGTAGAGTTAGGGGAGGTTGACGAGGAATAAGGGAAATAATTTGGATTTAGCGGCGGTTACAAGACAACAAATGGTTCTGTTCATATCAATATACAATATTAGCATCGCTGCTTGTGACTTAAACGCTCTTTGAATAAACTTGTAATTCACGGGTTATTCAAGAGTTTACTCCTTTTCCAATTAAATAAATTGAATACGATATGCTTCGTTGTATGGTGGGTTAAAAAGATACCGAAATAAAATCGTACACATTTACTGCTAGCTGCCTTTGTCGGGGTAGATTATTGAATTCAAAGTCTGAAAAGAAAGGTGTTTATTTCTACCAATTATGGTTTATTCTACTGTAGACAAAAGTCTCCGGAGAGTTTTGTACTTAAATTTTCTCGAAAACTTACATAATAATAATATTTGGGCATAAAATTTTAGTTTACAGTTAAGTCTGATGTATCAATATAAGATTTAGTCGGCCATCCCCTTCGCTCGTAATGCAAGCTTGCACACTTTTTGACATGCTCTTTATAATATTTAGATATGCACACTTTAATATTATTTTGATCTATCCAAGCCATTAGGGCTGGGGTTAGTTAGTCTCGTTAATGTTGTTCGTATCGCTAGATTGTATCGCTTAGCGTGAATCACAGAATCCGAAAACTTTCACGAGTCTTTTCGAATGTTAACTCGAGGGTCGAGGATTAGTGTCTACCGATCGACATTAGGTCGTGAGTAGCAAAAGCCTAGTTTAAAGGTCACTAACTTTTCTAAATCTTTAACAAAACTATATGGTACAGGAGCAACAGTATTGACAAAAGCTCTGGAATCAAATTCTTAGCAATCCGTGAATAAATAAGTCTTCATACTGACGGTAATTAATACATGTCATGTGACGGTCTGGCCTACAAAGCTTATTATTATGACACCTGTAAATGCAATTTACCGAACCAATGAATCATGTAATTTCATCATCTTAGAATGGAATATCATACGATATCTGATAGCGTGAGATCCATCCATTGTTGGATGGTGCATTGTGTCTAATTAGGTGTGTTTATACAATAACAATATTTATATAAACAAAATACCACGGTCAGCAGTGAAATTAAATTAATATATCGTAAACATTTATTGAAACGATATTAGGAATTTCGTAAAACTTTAATTGCTCCTAATTATTAATACTCTTCAACTAATAATTAAGTGCTGAACGAAAGCGATCTATTGTTTACGAGAAGCTGAAAACAGTTTAACCTTGTTTACGAGATGTGAGTTTCTACCTCGGCAACTAAACGGGCTCGTAAACACGACGACGTTAATCATTCCCACATCGCAAACAGAATTGTGATTATATTATTTTGACGCAAGCAGAAAGTGATTTCACCTATCGGTTTACTAACAGAACAATTCAAAGTTTCAGCTTTGCTGGTTACTATTGGATAATTAAAGAATTATTATGTTCCTTTATTAGTTACACCTACGATTGAACGCTAAGCACTAAAAAATTATTATGGGAACACGGGAACGGATAAAGTTTAGCGCGTTTTGTGCGGGCTGTGTCCTCGCAATACCCGAAATAGAATCCCGCCGAGTGCTGTGTCACGTTTATGACGTGCCAATAGAATGAATGACTATCTGTTTATTTGACGTATATATAAGTAGACAGTTTGCGCCTATAACAACTTTACGTTGTAAAACGAAAGAATTCGCCGTTATGACTAATACCCTTGCCAGCTATTCGGGCGCCCTTATTGGGCTTATTATTGTAAGTAAGAGTGAATTTGAGAGCAAAATATTGTTCTGGTTGTATTGCTAGTCATATCAAGATTGCAATGACGATCCAATAATCAACTTGTTGTTTGGTTTGGTTTCGGTTTTGGTTCATAGTTTATTATCGATATCATTGCGATACTCGAAGTCCTGCAGAGCAATCGTACGCTTGGTGGGAAACTCTTATGGGTCTTGTTGATCTTCTTCTTCCCTCTATTTGGTTTGGTTGTGTATTTGTAAGTATATGTTTGTTGGAATTGACCCCCCTATTATCAGTATAAACGTTCGGAAGGCGATACACAAGTATCCTTTGTCTGCCGGGTTTGAATTTCTTCTCATTACTGATTGTCTTTACTTAATCCTCTTCTAGCTTGTTCTCTAACCGGCGTGAACATGGTCGTTACGAAGCTCTACCATGACATGACAGACTCTTCCAGTCATGTATACCATCTTTACCTCTTGCATACTTGAGAATCTTATAACACAAGTTCTTTGTGTCAAGTTTCTTATGTAAATTGTGATGACCAACAGAATGTGTTTATAATTAAAGTATATGTAGTTATTAATCTGTCCAGTTTCAAACTGCTTGGCCTTGTTTCGAATTTGATCACATGCCCTCCACAATCCATAAAAGGAAATAGATAGCAACGGCAGATTCATGTTAATTGTCTTGAAAAATGATATCATCATCACAGTCGAAGACTAATGATAACAACACACAATCTCTCCCATATATTCAGATCGAAAATAAGATATTGAAAGATAATTATGCTCCCCAAGAGGGTACAGACGAATGGTGTATCTACAAAGCCGGAAAGCTGTGGCAAAAAGGATTAGACATTTATTCCAAACATACGGCTGAATCGAAAGACGTTGCATTGGCCTATATGTTTAATGCAATTGTCATTAATGACGATGCGACATACATTCGAGCGTCGTCGCAATTAGTCCCATCATTGTTCAAAAACAAACCATTCGTGCCAACTTTGACTACTATAGCCAAAGAAATTTGCCTACCCGGTGCGGAATACGGAATGATTTCAACTCTCGAATTCTCTCAGAAAATAAGTTCTCTCAGATCCAATCTCGAAGAAAAAGACGATGAAATTCTCTCCGCTACCCTCAATATGTACGAAAAATTCGCCATGTCGTCAACACTATTTTTACACTTTATGCCCATCTCGGATGCACAGTCTCATATCGACTTGTTAACTCGAGTCATTATCCACGCAGCCTCGCTGCGGAAACTACTTTCTCTTCGATTACCCAGCTTCATCGAAGGCTTGGCCATTCAGTCCCTCAACAACATTCCAGTAGCATCGCTTATGGACGAAAAGCCACTTCCGAGTCTTACGGCAACGACGGCTTTGTCAGGGGCTGCCCGTGATCGTATACTAAAGAAGATTAATGCTTCACACAAGTGGGCATTCTTATTGAGTTTAGAATTTATTTCTTTTTTGTACTATAAAGTTGTGATCGCGTTCGAACAGCTGTCGGATTTGGAATGGAATAAGAAAAGAGAGGGACTAAAGAAATCGACACAATTTATAATCGATATTTTGGATGTTGCTAAGAACTACCCCGCAATCGAGGTAGAAGATTCTACATCTTCACAGGCAGCGTTAGCGCTTTTATTCCCTTTTCCATTCTCGCAGATTTATCGTCCCCGATATTTGTCGCTACGTGGAAAGGCTATATTTAACATGGGTAGATTCCAGGAGGCTAAGAATATATTTAATGAAATTGCCAGTCAATATAGTAACACATCTAAGGTTATTGCTACAGAATCCTTGTATCAAATAGCTGTTTGTATAGCGATGGGATCGGATAGCGTTAAGGATGTTACTAAATTCGACGTTGAAGTGTTTAAAAAAGCAGAGCGAAGGGCCGAAGAGGAGGAGAAAAAAATGAAAAGCGAAGGTATATTTGTAGAGTTTGAAAACGAAGCTAAAAAAGTGGTAAGTATAGTCTAGGTGCACATTCGAAAATTTTATTATAATATCTCAAAATTAACCCTCTTCCCTCTGCTGTATCCACTCACATTACCCTAGGCCACATCACTCGTTAAAGAGCTTCCTGCATCGGGCACTCACTTTAAAGGCACACTTGAAGTACATCCATCGGGACATAAAGTCTTTCTTCGATTCAGCGCCGAAGGTGTAATATCGCCAAAATCGAATGCGTGTCAGAGTTGTGGTAAAACTGATTCGTTAATGCAATGCGTTTGCAAACGAGTAAAGTATTGCGGGAAAATCTGTCAGAAAAATGATTGGAAGAATCACAAGGGTGTTTGTACGTTTAAAAAAGATGATGGAGAGTAGCGAGAGGATTAGTCGTTACTATCAGAAGTAGAATAAACTATATATTCGATTTGTGGTAAGATTTCGAAATCGTAGAAGCGCCTGCCGGATTTTAAGGTATTTTTACTTGGTAATAAAAACGTTAAACACTTGGGGTATGTCATTTAAAATCACAATTTTAAATATTCGATACGATTCAAAGTTGACGTTTCCTATCATTATCACAATCACAGTTTACGAAGAACTTCAGCATAAACAGTATCACGAACAAACGTCTCTGAAACTTAACCAGACAGAATACACGTACGTGAATAAACTGTATTACAATAATAATAACGGAATGCCCTTGAAAATTTAGTCACATTGAGCAGAGTTAAATTTCAATAGTGTAAGACTTTATAGTTAAATTTTAAATGCCAAGTTATTTATGCAATGTGTTATACAGTCGCCGAGTTTTAAAAGTGAATGATGAATTTTAAGCAAGGATGTTGGGACTTCGAGTCGTCTCTCTGGGTCAGCTAATCAAACCCATTATTTCCACTGGGGACTGTACATTCTTTTGATACATGTTATTAATATATCGATATAGCTAGTGAATATTGAAATTTAAGTATTAAAATTTTTTTTGCAAAGTCCATTAATCTAAGGATATTGTTAATGAAATTAGTTAAAGAAGCTTTATCTAAGAACCTTACTCTCGGCTGATCTTCAATCGAGCTGGGATAGTGGTTTTGTAGAACGTAACGTATGTCGATATAACACGTACCGGATATATCGCGGGCAATTTGCGATTCACCACACCATATTAATATTCGGTGCTCGCTTAACATTTGCTCGATGCTTGTCCTATTTATTAAAAAAAGTTACGGTTAACAAATCTATGCTCAATTAAGAAGGATAAAAAAAGTTTCTGATAAGTAAATATACTGACTTTTACTACGATGGAAAGCTGAATGATTTTGGAGGAAGCCATTAGAAACGAATATACAGTTTGAACTGTGTCGAGGCATAGCCTCGATTTCTAATTGTGAATAGAAGACTCTTCTACTTTGTATGGCGGGTGATTTCTGGATTTTGAGGACGTAACTATTAGAACGATGAGATTTACACCAAAAGGAAAAGAATTCCAGTAATTGCACACCTGGTAATGAGGCAAGACAGTCGTCGACGAGCGTGCCGGTCAACGTCCCATCCGTGCCATTATTGAAAAAATTTTGATGTACAGTTTATGGAGGAAAGTTTTTTAACTGTAGTGATTCGATATTAATATGTGGCAAACTAATCCTCTTGTCCTTTAAAATTAATTAATTTCCGGAACCTTATACTATTCCGGAGCGTCTATGACTAAAAATTA